TTTTTTTTTTTTTTTTTTTTTTGCTGCGTGGTGGAGGAAATCGTTGGCTCCGCCTGTGAAGTGTGTTGAAGCGTGTGACGCTCTCAGCTGCTGCTCTGGCTGCTTCCATGTTTATTCTTGAGGATGGGGGCACACACAAAACCAAGCAAAAGCAAGGGGAGCCGGGGGTTGCGTGCAGCTGGCCACCCGTACGACTGGAAGCTCCAATAAAGAAGGGGATCAATCAACAAACGAGGAGAGAAGGCTGGAAAGGAAGAGACAGGAGAAGAAGATAAGGAGAGGAGGAGGAGGAGGAGGGGAGAAGCGGGGTGAGAGCGGAGCCAGTGTGGTTTGCATATACCGTAGAAGCAAATAATGTCTATGGAGAAATCAGTATTGCGTCTTAAGCACATCGTTATTGGGGCGTTGGCAATTTTTTGTGCTGTTGCATTTGGCACTCTCCAGAGCTTGGATGCTGTAAAGTTGTTTGTATATTTGCGTGCAAACGCCCATCTTCGCCGGATCCTGAGGTCGTGCTTGGTGGCAAATGGCGTCCTTTTCTTCAGCCTATGGGTTGCCTCCGTTTTCTTTTCCTACATATGGGATTTTGGTGGAGGGATCATGCGGGGTGGTGGCGGCGGCGTTGGCAAGGCGGGCAGTGAGCAAGCAGCGGTGACGGCGGGGAATGTGATCAGTCTTGCGGGAAGAGTTTGGTTTTCTGTATTCGATGTGACGTGGGTTATACCCGCCTATGCTCTCACGCAGGCTTTCGGTATGCGTTGGTACAGTTCTCTTTATACTGAGGCCTACGCTGAGAAGAAACGTCGTGCGTCCCCGTTGGGGGCGCGGGGTGAGGCCGGGGAGTACGTCAAGGACGGCGAAATAACTTCCACAGTTGCCCCGCAGGGCGCCGATGGGGCTTTTTCGTTTCGTACCGTGGTATTGTCTGCCAGCGAGGTTATGTTTAAGGCACTTGTGATGGCTGCGTATGCCCTTCTCGCTGCGGTGGTGGATGCGGTTATTCCTTCCCCGGTTGGAAATTACCTTGCCTTCGTGATGAACAGCTGGCTGTACTCCCTCTACGTATTCGACTATCGTCTGTCCACGCAGTATGTGGTGGACCGCAGGTCCCGACGTTACACTCGCGTGACTCTAAAGGAGACGCTGATTTTTTTTGAAAATCATTGGGCCTATTTTTTGGGGTTTGGTGCCACCCAATCGATCATTACAGCCGCGCTACGGTCTTCATGGCTGGCGTCCTCGTGGTTCTCCTCCGCGTCGGTAACATCGGTCCTTTTTGGAGCGCACATCGTGCTTTCTGTGGAGGCGATGCCGTCTCCTCGCGCTCCCTTTCCTGTGCTGATGTTCACACCATTTTTTGCTCTGTGTGGTATGCTGCTGAACGTCATTGGGAATGCCTTGCGTTAATCTTGTGTGTCTGTATACCTCCTGATGCGGGGACCGGGACCCTTGCAACACCGCCAGCTGTGACACCGTAGTAGCCGTAGTAGTAGTGCTGCGGACCCATTGGACACGGTGGTGGTTTGCGTGCCGAACCCCGGCGTTGTTGCACTGCCTTCACTTGCGACAGGGCGTGGAGGGAGCGGGGGGTGGGTGGGAAATCCCTCCTTTGGATCTGTGCGGCCGGTGGTGGGGTTATCTGTGAGGCTTGCGGCGGTGATAAAGCGCCGTTTTTGTTTTTCTCGCTGCCTGCGTTCGAGGTCAGTGTGTGACCACGTGCTTTTTCAACGCTTTCCTTCCCTTCCTTTTATTATTATTATTATTATTCTCTCATTTTCAGTTTTTTTGCGCCCGTTACACCTCAACAGAGCGGTGTGGTGGCGGAGGTGGGGAGGCGGAGGCGCTTTTTGGAGTGGTTGCGTTGTGTGATGGCAGGCATCTTGTGCTCCTTACTTCTGCTCGTACTCGTGTGGGTGTGCCATGCCCGGGAGATTCTTCCACCCGAGGCCTATGAGAACCGTACGATGTACCCGGTTGTCCCAAAGTACGAGCGTCGCCCCTTGCTAAGCATAGGCGTTCTCAGTGATATTCAGTACGCTGACAAGGCGGAAAGGTCGCGACGCTATTATCGCCTTAGCCCCGCCAAGGTTGAGCACGCTGTGAGGGAGATGAATGCAAATCGCAGTCATCTGGACCTGGTTTTGCATCTTGGGGATACCGTCAACCAGAACATTAAGGGGAATCTCCGGGTGATTGATTCACTGCTGAAGAAGCTGAAGTTTCCTTTTTTTCAGGTGCTTGGGAACCATGACTTTCTGCAGCTGGGAGAAGCACACCGTGACGATGTCCCCCGTTTGCTGGGAATGCCAGCACGATACTACAGTCTTCGGGCAGGAGAGGGCGGTGCGTTCCTTCTCATTGTGCTCGACGGAACGGATCTCTCGGTGTTCGCAACAATGCCCGGTACCGCCAGACGGGACGAGGCAAATTCCATGATGCGTCGCTATCGTCGTCGAAAGAACATTCATGCTGTCAACGGCGGTATCGGAGCGGAGCAAATGCGCTGGCTTCGCATACAACTGGAATACGCTGTTGCGCGGAAGCTGACCGTGCTTGTATTGTGCCACTTCCCGATGTATCCTTACGGAAATGTCCTCAATCTTTGGAATGACATGGAGGTGGTGCATCTGCTTTCCAATTATTCCTGTGTGGCCGCAGTTATTTCGGGTCACACCCACCGCTGGGAGTATCAGCAGCTTGTGGTGGCCCACAAGGAAGGGAACTTCATAATCCACTTTGTCACGTTTGGCGGTGTTGTGCAGTCTCCTTTTACGTCCTGGGGCTTCATCGAAGCATACGCAACGGAGCTGCACCTGCACGGTCTGAGTTTCGGTCAGACATTTGACTATCGTATACGAATCCGCAGGCTGGCAGGGGAGGCTGCGGCGTCCGAGACGGCGCGGGCTTCGGCGTCACAGCCCTTCTCTCGCCGGCGAAGTGGTGTACAAGTTATTTCTCGCTGTGACAATAACAAGGCGCGGCCTCAACACGCCGCACACCAACCCTTCCTTGATAGAACTGCCGAGGGAGATGAAGGTGTTTCCCGCTTAATAGGTCTTGAGGTTGTTATTCTGCTTTCTCCACTTGTCATCATCGCCCTTCTGTGGTTGCGGTGCTTGAAGAACCGACGGCGTCGCAGTAAAGGTGTCAGCGTCAGGTGCACTGCTACGGTGGGGTAAGAGGGTGTGACCGTTCCCCCAAGAAGAGCCGAAGAAGAAGTGAAGTAGAACATGTGTGGCCGCAGACATCGCTGGGTACTTGGGGCTACGACCAATGAGACGGATGGAAAACTTTTGCTGCAATTGCGTAGCAGCAATGCCGTCTCCTCGCGCTCCCTTTCCTGTGCTGATGTTCACACCATTTTTTGCTCTGTGTGGTATGCTGCTGAACGTCATTGGGAATGCCTTGCGTTAATCTTGTGTGTCTGTATACCTCCTGATGCGGGGACCGGGGCCCTTGCAACACCGCCAGCTGTGACACCGTAGTAGCCGTAGTAGTAGTGCTGCGGACCCATTGGACACGGTGGTGGTTTGCGTGCCGAACCCCGGCGTTGTTGCACTGCCTTCACTTGCGACAGGGCGTGGAGGGAGCGGGGGGTGGGTGGGAAATCCCTCCTTTGGATCTGTGCGGCCGGTGGTGGGGTTATCTGTGAGGCTTGCGGCGGTGATAAAGCGCCGTTTTTGTTTTTCTCGCTGCCTGCGTTCGAGGTCAGTGTGTGACCACATGCTTTTTCAACGCTTTCCTTCCCTTCCTTTTATTATTATTATTATTATTCTCTCATTTTCAGTGTGTTTTTGTCTTTGTTTTTTTTCTGTTTGTGGTTCTTTCCTCTCCCCGCTCCTCGTTTGCGGCGACAGGAGAACGCGAGGAGGCTCCGCGGGTGTAGTGGAAGAACACAACTGCTGCTGCGGGCCACCTTCATAAAGTAACCTTTGCGGGGTAAGATATTACGTGGAAGAGGAAATGTACGCTGTGCTTGTCGTTGTCGTGTCGCTTGCTGCGCTTGGTGGCGCCGTCGCTCACGGGGAAGAGGTGCGGAAGAACGACGATGTGGTGGCACGTCTGCGCAAGGAATTGGCGGCGGAGGGCATGGACACGCTGCCAACGCCACCCCGCGAACTAGGTGTTCATGCAGCCTGCCTGAAGCACGGGATGGGATGCCCGGACACCTACGTGGGGTTCCTGGAGGGACTGCGGAGTGCCCCCCATACACCTCCTGAGACGAGGGCTGCTAAAGTCGCGGCAGGAAGTGAAGCTTGGCGGAGCCGAGGACCCCCCAGTGGCGAGAGAGGGGAAAGGAAGATGGGACGCACAGATCGTGAGGTTGCTACTGAGACCGAACTAGAGAACTTGCGGCGTCTGCGCGATGTGATGCGTATTCGTTTGGCCGAACAACAGTCGCCTGAGCAGCAGTGGAAGTGCAAGGAGTTTCGCTGGCTTCGCATGGGGCTATTGGTGGTCCAAACTCTGCATGGCCTAGCCATGGAACAGTGCTGGGGCTTTACCATGCAACGCCTTTTTCCATGTGTGGTGTTCGTGACTGTGACTGTGTGGGTGCTTTTTGGCGATCGTGTTCCGCGTCAGCACATGAGCAGTCTTCTTGCGAAGGATTCCATGAGTGTCTTGACCGAGGTGATCACCCGCCGCAAGTCTCCACACTCCGTGGCGGAGCTTGTGATGAAGCGTGAAAGCTACAATATCACTGAAATCAGTGATCCCGAAGACATTAACGTCCCTGGTTTTCGTGACGGCTTTGCAAAAATGAAAGAAGAATCTTTGCGGTCAAGCTCAAATCACCGTCGGGATCGTTGGTTTGTCACACGCTTTGCCCTGCTCGAGGCGCACAATGAGACTCGCATTGCAGGGGTCGTTTTGAGACTTCGCTTGGCGCTGAGTGCCACGGTGTTACTGCTGCTTTGCTGGACGCTGCTCTCCCTCGTACTGCGGGCAACGGAGGTGCGGAAGAACAGTGATGGCGGGGTGCTGCACTACCTGTTGGTTATGTTTTGCCCCGCCTGGATGACGACGTCGTTTGTCCTCTACGCTGGCTGGTCGTGGATTGGCGGCATGGTGGCCTACGCTGCGTGGGAGCTGGTGTCCGCGGGGGAGGCGTTGGTGCGGTCAGGTGAGCGGGCGGCCGCTGTGCACGAGAAGATCCTGCAGCGCTGGTACGGCTGACAAGGTAGCGGGTGGAGCACGGGAGGGGGAATGCGGGGCACACACAAAAAAAAGTGAAAGGAGAGAGAGAGAGAGAGAGTAGGGGGAAAAAAAAAGTAGGGTTGAGGCTAAAATTGATGTAAAGAAAGCGTTCTTAGGAGGAAAAGTTTTTTTTTTTTTTTGCTTCTGTCGTGATTTTCCTGCACTGTCAAGCAAAGAGGACAGAGGTGAGAATTTTGAAACAGCGGCCGTTGAGCGAGGGATGTGTTCACTTCCTCTTGGAGCGCGGACAGAGACGAGGTGAACGCACCGCAAGTCAAGTGCCTCTCTTTATTATCTTTTTATTTATTTGTTTCTTTGCGTCGTGTACGGCCTGGAGAGGTGCCACTCCACAAAAACTGCTACCGCGCCGCTACTTGTCTTTGCGTGCATCATGCCTGCGTCTCGGTATGCGAGTGGCAGCGGGTGAGTGCGGGGAGGATGGGCACAGTGCGTATATAAATGCACGCGTGTGGTGCAACTGCTCCGCGTGTACAAGTGGCTGCTTTCCGCCACTTTTTTTTTCTTTGTGTTTTGTTGGGGAACGGGGGTTTTCATGCGCGCTGTGCTTCAAAAATACCAACAACAATGGAAGGAAAAACGCACAGGTAGCGGTGGCGGGAACAAGCTGTGCAGGGCGCAGAGCATCTTCACCACACACTAAAATGGATGCCATAGAGCAAGTGGTGGTGTACGCTGATGTGCGCAACGCAGAGCTGCTAGAGCAGCTCACCGCAGCGGTGATTGCGCTATGCAAAAACTACACCATTCATCCACCCCCTGCCTCAGACACTGCGGACCCATTACTGTTTTTACACCTTTGGGAGAAGGAAAGGGATAATGTTTGGGAACACGTTAATAATAATGTCCCAATCATGCGCCGCCTCGAGTGCTTTGTTACGGACTCAAAAAATCAAGCAGACGGGGTTGTGGCCTATGCGTTGTACTATCGACAGATGCCTGTGCTTTCGCTTGCCGCCGTCGTCACTGGCGCCACTGAAGAAGAGGCGGAAGTGAGTGAGGATTGGATTACTACCGCGCTGTACTTCACGGCCACGGGGTTGGGCTGCTCATCTCCCAGTGAGGCTCTCACTGTCTTCTTCACTTTCCCGAAGTCCGCGGGCAAAGTAGTGGCGCTGGAGGGCGAGTGCGGTGTGCTCGTGGCGGAGCAGAGCCGGCTGTTGCGTGACTGCATCCGTCATGAGTGGGGTTTGCCGGTGCAACTTGTAGGTGCCAGTGGATGCGACCTGCTGGGTGTCGATGTGTTTGGGAGAGAACTGACGAGAGCTGAGGAGGAGGTGGAGCCGTCTGTTTATGCTTCATTGATTGATGAGCTTTTGCGCAATCCCGAGTTATGCACTCTCCGCGACGCGGACCCGCAGCTACACGGGGTCCTGTGTGCACTGAACCGCCATCACAACCTTCGCCTGCTGCGGTACCGGCTGCAGCGTGGCATTCACGTCATCCTTTGCCGTCCGCTGTCGTTTGTTCTCGAGGGACTTTTTCGGGGAGGCAAGTCGCAGGCGACACAGCCGTCGTCGGCGCTGTCGGGCGTCGTAGCGTCCATACAAAACTTTGAGCACCACTGGCTGGGATTGCCGAGGGCGGAGGTGATTCTGATTCGCGAGAGAGATGACGCAGCCGTCACCACCACCACTGCGGCCGGCGCCTCGCTGAAGTGGGCACAGTCCCTTTGGGGCGGAGGGCAAATTCCCACTCTTGACGCGTTGTCGGGTTGGCACGCCGTGACGATGGCGGGCGGTTTGGGCGAAGGTGGGCAACTAATGAATCGACTAGACGACGCGGTGCGTGAGGCGGTGGCGTCCGTCATTGCACCAACGGGGGTGGGACAAACGCCCACGGTGGAAGGGAAATGACGCGTGCAGACGCACGAAAAGGAGTACAAGGAGGAAATACGCTCTTCTGTTTTTCATTGTTTTTTGTCTCCGGTAGCATTGTTGCGGGTTTTCCCTTCCCCCCTTTTTTGTTTTTGTTTGTGTGTGTGTTGGCACCCATCCTCTTTGCCTTCTGCCTTCGATGGATCGTAATGTGTCATGCATATGTGTTTGCCAACTTTTGTTGGCTGCACAAACTCTTTTGTCCCCATCTTTTTTTTTGTCTGTTTTCGTTGGCCTGTGGCTGTTTCACACATGTGTCTTGCCTATTTTTCCCTTTTTCCCTCCCTTTATCTTTCTGTATGTGTGTACGTGTCAGAAGGGCGGGGCGTGGACGGATAAGAGACCAGTTTTTTGCGCATGGCAAAGATTAACGCGACCTACAGCTCCGGCTACTACCTCGCACCGGACACCGACTACCGCAAGCTCGAGGAGGCGCAGCAGCAGAAGCGGAAGCGGCGACGGCAGGAAGAGAAGGATGGCGATTTAGACGCATCCTTCGGTGGCGGGGTCATTCGACAGACGTTCGCGATGCCGTTTAACATCATCTGTCTACACTGCGACCATCGCATCGCCCGTGGAACGCATGGGTACGTCAACCGGCGGCCGACGAAGGAGAAGTTTATGGGCATCCGCATATGGGAGCTCGAGTTCCGCTGCATTTTCTGCAAGGGACATATCTACTTGACCACGGACTACGAAACCGCCAAGCTAACAGGTGGATATCACTGCAGTCGCAACTGCAGGCGCGGCGAGGGGGACTTCTACGGGACGAACCAAATCAATGAGGCTATCCGGGCAAAGCAGGCGACAGAGGAGGCGGAGAAGGGATCACTGGACACATTGGAGCGGGAGAACGAGGCGATGCGGCAACTACAGGAACGCGAGCGTCTGATTGGGGAGCTTGTGGAGTCGCGGGCAGCCACGGACGGGGACCGGATCCGCGACGAACTCCTGCAGGCCATTCAGGCAAGGAAGCGGACAAAGGTGACAGATCAACACAAAGGTGGAGCCAGCGAGGGTGAGGCAGACGACACCACAGACAAGGTGTCTGCCGACGACGAGGACGACGAGGCATACCGGCGCTTTGAGAGACAGCTGCGGTATTGGCAGGAGGAGGCGGAGCGGGTGCTGCAAAGTCACTCAAAAGGTGGTGGTGCTGGGGAGGATGACAAGGTGGCCGCGACGATCACGGCCAAGTATACTGATCACGGGAACAAGCGGCATAATGTCTTTATGGACGGATCGGACTCCAGCTCCGACGCTGAGAATGACAAGGGTGGTCATGGGCACACCACGATGCCCCTAAAGAAGGATCGAGTGACTCCCGTAGTGGCAGCATCCAGCACTACCACTGAACACCATAAAGGTAGCGCGCTGGCGTCCCTGCTGAATGACTTGTAAATTTTCCCGCTTGGCGCGGAAGCAACGGGGGCGAGAGCGGCACTTTTTGTGTGAAGGTGGTGATAGGGGCTCTCGTTGAAGTGCAGATTATGTTGTTGTTGTTTGCTCCTCGTTCCCTTATTTTCTATCTGCTTCTTCCACCGCAGCGGTGTCACTTGTTCATTCCATCACTCTCTTTTGCAGACAGGTAGGAAATACGTATACACACAAGAAAAAAGGTGTTGTCACTCCACTTGCTCACACTCGTTACCGTCAGGTAACAACACGTAACCGAAACACAAGGGAGTGTTATTTTTCTGCATTGTCTTCTCCAAACACTTGGTTGTTTTTATTGTAGGCATTTTTATATTTGTTTTATTTTCCGTTTTTTCTGTTTCTTGCTTAACAGCTGACGTGAGCACCACACACACTATTTCCTGTTTGCTGACGCGTTTGTTGCAGGATGTTGCAGGCGGGTGGCGACGGCCAGTTTAATTTACTCCCAGGATCGGCGTATCCGGGGCACCTCCCAAATGCTGGCGCTCCTGATCCCTCGGCAGATACGATACGTGAGGCGAAGACAAAGGTGTTGTCTCATAACCCGTTTTCCACCATGGGGACTTGCAGCAGTAGCGGTAGTGAATATGGCACGGCTAGGCGAAGTGGTTCGGCACCGCTCCACCAACGTTTGCCTGTGTCATTTGGGATGGCGACTTCACTTTACACGAATGCCCCACCGGCGCCTAGTGCCGCGGCAGCGACGTCACCAGAGAAGCAGCTGCTTGAACGACCACCTCAAATAGCAGCACCGTCATGGCAGCAGCGGCAGCAACAACAACAACGGCAAGAGGAATCGTGTCAGCGTCATCAGCGACCGAGTTTGTCCTTAGCGGAAAATCGCTTCAGTTTCCCGCAGCGAGTAGTAGAGAGCGCTGGTGCGGCATCACCATTTACGACTGCCCAGGGTGCGGCTCCTCAGGATGTTGCAGAGACCACGGGGCCCTGCCTAACTCCATCTGAAAAGGTGGTGCGCGGCCTCTCGCTGAATAGTCTCAGTTCAGCAGCCTCGGGCGTCGAGAGGACTTTAAACGAGTCCTCTGTGAAGAGGACATTGTACTTGAGAAGTTTACTTAAAAAGGACCCGCCTGACTTTTTGAAACCGTCTTCGGGCCCCCCCGTGCTGCGGCGGTCATCAGCTGGACCAAGACGTACGCCTAGCCCGTTGGATGCACGGTTGTCGAGGCTCAAGGCGAACGGCGGCTTGCAAGTGGCCCAAGGCCTCCGCCCAGGCAGCACAGGAACGAACGCTGAAGGCGAGCCCCAGCAGCTGCAAAAACAACCCTTGCAAGATCCCACTTCTGTGCCGTGCCCGCCAAAGCCAAATGAGGGTAAACAGACCTTGTCCCCATTTGTTGAGGCTTCCATGTCTGCTGAACAACAAAGCAGCAGCAACAACAACGACGCCAACGGCTCCGCTGTATACATTCCTTTAGGATCCCAGTCCGGACTTCCACGGGTTCTTTCGACAGTAGCGGCGCCGGGACCACAATTTTCCTCGAGAGGAATTGGGGGTTCCAACACACAGCTTCCCTCTGGTTCTTTTGAAACAAACACCACGGAAAAGTCGCTTCATGGCAGTTCCGTGGCTGAGCAGAAGCTTTTATTCCATGGAGTAAGGCCGCAGGATGTGAACTCGGGAGAGCGGTTTGTGCCGGCCATTGACGTGAAGCCACACGTCGTTCTAAAGGAGGAGAAAGTATTACCTTTTGCACCGGCTTCGCGCTCAGGCGCTAGCGAGACGTCCGGTGTGGTTAGCGTACTGGGCGGTGTTGAATCCCCCGCCTTGCCAACAAAGAAGACGGCCCTTACAGGCGAGGTGCCCAACCTTAATTTTTTGCCAAGCAACACCAGTGGAATGACTCGAAATCTGCCACCGCCGCCCACGGCGCTCCCGCCAAGGCCGACTTTAATAGGTGGCGAGGTGGCTGCATCATTGTTAACAACCGCGTCCGTTTTGTCGAAAAATTGTCAAGAGCTAAATACACCGCGAAACGGTGGGATGAAGCTACAGAAGCAGGTTAACCCGTTCCAGGCAACGCAAGAAATTGAAACGGCGGAGTTTTCACCGGCGCCGTTCCGTCCGTCTCGTCAAGCGTCAGAGGAGGTGGTGTTCGGGGCCGATGCAGCCGCATCTGGGGCGGGCGAAGCGACCTGTATAGAAAGCTTTGTAACTGGAGACGACAACGACGTTGAACCTTCGCTTAAAGCCCGACACTCCACTTTGGCGTTTTGTCATTTACCTGCTACCGTGGTGAGGTCTGACGCTGCTGAATTTCAAGCAGTTGCGAAAGAAGAAGAGGCAGTGAGGTGTGAGCAGCACCAGAACACAATCGTTACATCGGAAGGGGAAACACATGTTGAGGCAAGTGTGACACAACCACCACCACTGTCTCGGGCAACACGCTCGGCATTGGATTCATTAGAGCAGCAGGACATTTTCAATACGAAGGAGGGCATTTCTCGTAACGTCAACGAATCTTTCTCGACACGAAAGCGTCTGCCACGTGAACGGTCTAGCACAAAGCCATGCTTTGCCTTATTTACTTCGACTGGACATGTGCTTACGGTCTTCAATGCCTCTTGCTCTGGTGCTTTGACGGTTGTAAAGTCAGAGCCCCTGGCAAATATGCTTATTGGGCGCGTGCAGAATGTGAAGTGCTTTAATGTTGGGGAGGAATACGGGAATATGCTGCAGCTGTTGGCCGAGTTTTCGCCTGCGTTTATATCTAGTGCGCGTAATGGCGTGTCACTGACGATGCTTCGAGATGTAGTGGCGAAAATGACGGGGATATCGTTGCTGCTTCAGGAAGTGCTGCTTTTTATGCTGCGTGATCCGCCTCCCGAGTGGCGCACAGAGGGGCAGAAGTCTCTGATTAAAATACTCGCTACGGCAGCGGCGCGGGTATCGATTTCAGATGAATCCCGTCCTAATTATCCGTTAAACGCGGAGCCTCCACAGCATTCAGTTAAGGATTTAGCAAGTGGATTGCAAAAAATACAACAGCTGTTGTGTGCAGGGGAGCGCGAGGCTGCGGTGGGGGTTGCGCTAGAGCACCACCTTTACTCGCACGCTATCATCATTGCCATGATGTGCCCCAAAAAGGAGCATTACATGAGTGTTATTCGTGCTTTGGTGCAGCAGGAGTTGGACCCCTTCTCTCCCTTGGCGCACGCCTACTGCATGTTTAATGAGCTGCCACTCCCACCATTTGAACCTGAGCCAACGCGGCCGCTATCGTTGTCTATGCCTGTAGCCTCTCAGTGTGATGCGCATGCTCAAATTCGTTCCTCATGGCTGCAACATGCAGCGGTTTTGGTCTCCAACTTTACAAAGGAGAGTGCGGAGGGGCTGATTCAGCTCGGGGATTCGCTGGTGAATGCGGGGATGATTGATGAGGCGCACTGCTGCTTCTTGCTGGCCCATGTGAGCCCCATGGGAACCCAACCGCCTGGCCGCCCGCTCCAACCCAAACAACAACACATCATGGAACTTCTGCGAGCACGCTTAGGTGTCCTTGGCGGGCGTTATAATCCCCAATGCTCTCGTAGTGCGTTTGTGTCGCCAAAGTCGACGCTGCTGACAGACGTCCTTCAGTTTTTCCGCTCCCACCTGGAAAGCCGCAGCTTGGCATCCCCGGAAGACAGTGGTAAACCGGCTCCGCAGCACGGAATTCCGATCTGTCCAGAGCGATACAGAGCAGCCTTTCACTACATGCAGGTGTTGTGGCTGCGTGAGGTGGGTCTGCGCGAGGAGGCCTCGCAGCTCATGCATGAGCTTAGTAGGGCTGTGCCGTCAGAGTCAAAAAGTGGCTCTACATTTACGTTAAACCGTCTTATTTCTAGTGGGGTTGCGTCACATGCTGATGCTGCTGGGAGGGAGCAGCCGGCTTCACACGCAGGGGGGCAGGCATCAAAGCGGCCGATGCGCGAGGAACGCGTCTCTCTGCCGGCACCATCATTGTCATTTGCTGCGAAGGGCTCGATTGATTCATTAACTGATCGCCGACCAACATTTGCCCCACCGCCACCATCACTGCAGCCGCAGAGGCAGAAGCAAATGATGCCGCAGTCGCCTACACCGGGTCCAAAATTGGATGTGCCACTCATTCCAGGGCCGTCAAAATTTCATCCCCAAAGTGTGGCGAGTGCAGAGCCCGCTATAAAAGGACCTCCACCTCCTTTTTCAGCGCAGCCAACAACGACACCATCTGCCGTGCCCCCCGCAATGCCTCCAGCGGAGGCACCATCGGGTGAAAACAATAACGCCACAACAGATGCGAATGAGACCCCGGCAAAGTTGGAAAGCTCCAGGAGTTTGCAACCACAGCCACAGCCACAACTGCAGCCAAGAGGACGTTTAGCTGAAGAGAAGGGGGCAAGGGAAAAACCGTCACAGCGTTCTAGTTCTTTGGAGGCTATTACCAATTTCTTGTTCCGCCGCGGTCGAAGTCAGGAGGCAAAGAAAGATGAGCCGAAGAAGATGATTATTGATACAGAGAAGCCTCCCAAGTTTGATCCTGTGACCGGGCGATATCTTTTTGAGGAGACCGAGGAGGAGAAGAAGGCGGCGGAGATGATTAGGGCGGGACCGCCCAGGCCGTCGGCGATGGCAGCAAAGGTTCCCGCAGTGGGAGGGGCGGTGCCGTCAATGATGCGCCCGCCAACCGGACCAGCTGGGCTGCCGCGAGCAGGACCTGGAACACTTCCCCGGGCGCAGTATGTGGACATGTTCAATTCTACCTAACGAGGGCAACCTGCGGAGCGTGCAATCAGCAAAAACAACAAGAAAGAAAAAAATGCGTGCGTGCTATTTCTCCTTCTCTTCCCTTTGCATCTATGTGAGTGATATCTTACTTTGCTTTCGTATTCTTTTTTTTTTGTGCGCGTGGGAGTACAGGACGTGCCAGTAACCAACTGGAATGGAGCAAAACAAAAACAAAAAAAAAGTGGGGGGAATGGAAGAAGAAAGCGGAAGTAGAAATGGATGCACCGCCCGAGATGTATCCTCCCTTTTGCTATTTAAGTTCAATAGACCTTTGGCAGCGTCCTTGTTAGCAGCAAGTGCGGAATACAGTGAGGGAGAGAGAGAGAGAAGACAGGAAGGAAAAGCAGCACATTTGATGGCTAGAAAAAGTGTTATTTTTGTTGCCTCTCTTACGTCTTTAAATAATTGATATCATGTATTTTTCGTGTCTACCTTTTTTCTTTTTGCTCGAGTGTGTAACACTGTGGTACGGGGGAGCTACTGCTTCCTTTCCTTTGTGCAGTTTTTTTTCTTTTTTTATGTTTTTATTTTTCTTGTTGCTGTACAGGAGAATGGGACAGGAAAGAAGGGCGCCGACGAACCTGGTGTGACCTCACACGACCGTTTCTCTCAATGCTTTAATGGCTCCGTAACGGCACTCGTTTGCTGCGCACGGTGGCTCGTCACCGCGGGTGCGGGTCGGTGCCTGCTTCCCACAGCAGGCTGTCACAGTGCGTGCCTGTGCAGTTTTATGAATCGCCCGACCAGCCCATTAGCGTTGATACCACGCATCGTCTGTTGTTGCAAGACTACATGTCTCCCCCTCCTTTTTTTCTCTGCTTCCTCATCAACTTATTCAGGCGAGCGTGGTGGTGCTTCGCTGCCGCTGCACGTGTCTCGCTGGTGCAATCCACTGGGTTCCCTTTCCTAAACTTTTTGGCTTCTCCCTTGGGAGAGAAGTGTATTGTGTCACAAACAGTGGGAGAAGCAGTGACGGCCCCATGGATCTCTCTCTATTGCCCTCTTCAGCCCCTTTTGTGCGGACTGTAGTGCCGTGTGGCTCCTGTGGAGTCTCTTTCTACGAGTGAGCAGGTCTAGTTTTGGGCACGACCCACAATGGCTCTGAATACCACGTGTAGTGAAGAAAACATCCCCTGCAGAGGGGTGAAAAACGCTGAATGAAGTCTTCACGGCGGGGGAAACCCCGTAGAAAACAATCTGGGCGGCCAGATCGAAAAACTGGAAGGAAACCAGAGCATAGGTGGTGACTAGATTCTCTGCATCTTACAACGGCGTGGCCACAAAGGGCTGTTAGAGAACGGAGGCGTCGATGATGACAGTGGTGTCGACAAGGATGTGTCTCGCCACATTGAAATGCGTCATAACACCACCAGTGTTACGACGGCCTCGCCGAGCAACGCTCGGATTTCAATTTGCAAGGTGCCTTAACGCCCTCGCACGCGGAGGTCATTGTGAATTCTTCTCGGAGTGGATCATGGGTTGGAAGCTTAACTGTGCAAAGAGGTGCAACAGAATATGTGTCATTATTTTACTTTTTGTAGATCGTCAAGTATTGCCTCTTTTTTTTTTTTTATTGTCCTTGGCCTTGGTTTTTTGTGCTGTTGTGTGTCTATGTGGGTGGGTGTTTGCGATGCTTTCTCCACTGGTGATTTGGGCGGCAGGAGACAATTTGTGCCGGGAAGCAGGGCAGATGCACTACATTGTTTTTGTTTTGTGTACTTTTGTTGCAGCTTATGTTTTGCTGGTTGGGTGGTATTAGCGGAGATGCCTCTGTTGCTCTTTGACTCTAATGGGTCGGTGGATGCGTGTACGCGTGCGCGGATTTTATTGATTCCGTTGTCGTTCCCCGCTGACGCAACGTGGTGGTGACGCATTGCTCGGTTATCATTTGCCTTTTTACTCTTCCAACCCTGCAAAGGTGATAGCTGTAGGATGACGAATGTTGTCGGAGATGACTTGCACGCGCTTAGCGCGCCGCTCTTGGCGCACGAGAGTAGTTCAAAGGCGAGGAGGGAGGAGGGCGTCCTGGATGTCCCGTCAGTTACAAATGTTCATAACAATCCCCGGGGTCGATTGGTGGCAGAGCTGCAGATTGAGACTCTTTCGACGACGTTTGCACGCATATTTTTGTATTCGTGGTACCTCGTTCTTTTCTTGGCGTTGGCTTTCCAGTCGGTGGTTCCGTTGCAGTGGAAAATGACCAACATCTGCGGGGACACGCCGGAGAGCCTCTATCAGCTTGATACGTGGAGTAGCCCCTGTGTTCAACGCCGTATGCTGTTATCCCATGGTGTTGACGGGCCCAACTTTGCTGTGGGTGGAGAGTTACATGCTGTTTCCATGGACGTTTTACAGGATTTTATAGTGGGTGAGGAGGCAACGGCAGAATCGTTGGAGTGTGATGCCATAGTGAATAATACCCGTCTCCGTCGTCAGTGCAATCTTCGCTGGGTTGGCAATGGCCAAGGAATGTCTTTGGATGTGAAACTCAACCGTTTCGTGCGTGTCATTTTGAGCATGGCCTCTCCAAAAGATCAGTTACCGGAGGGAATGGAATGGAAACGGTATCCACTTATGGTGGCCCTCGAAGAGTCGCCACTCTCGCCAGATGAAGAGACGAGCAGCAGTAGCCGTATGCCACCTCCGAAGGGTGTCTTTCTTTATAACACTAGTACAGTGTGCTATCGCGCCAGCCCGCGCTGCTCTTCCGTGGTGCTTCCACAGACCGTGGCGGTGGCCACGAAAGAGTCGCAAATTACGCTTACCATATTTGACGTGGACGAGGCTCTAGGAAACGTTTCTGCTGCATCTGCTGTGGGGATATTCTTTCAACGATCTGCATACACGGTGAGCACTATTGTGTGCCGCTACGTCTTTCTTTTCTTCTCCATTCTCCATCTTATTCGGTTTATTTACCGTAAACGGTACTCGAGGACTTTGTATGAGCAATACTGGGTGATGTTTCTGCACCTGGCGCTTTACCTGTACCTTGACCCCTTTTTTGTTGTGGGTATCTACGCAACTCACAGCACGGCGATGTATAATTTTTTGGAGTTTCGCATTCCAACCTACTTTGCTGTCTTGCTGAGCTGCTTTATCTTTGCATTGATTACGGCCTCCATAAACTGGACGGTTTCAGGCAGAGCGACGGCGAGGTTTCGATCCCTGTCACAGCATGATGTAAGAGGGCAAAGTATTGTGCCGTGCTTCCCTGTGGTGGCCTCTTCACCCCCCTTGGGAACCCCAAGGCCAATGGCTGGCGTGTCAAGCATGTTGACAGCACCATTACAACAGCAAGGTGTTCCCGAAGAGGAACAACACTTGCCATCAAGGGACATCTCGCGTCGGGCGTCCTTTGTAGGCTCTGATGGGGTTCGTCCCATGGAAGTCTTACATAGCGCCACTCCGTTGTGGGCGACGATGTCAATGACGAACTATTTTTTGGCGGTGCTTTTTCTTGACATTGCCCAATCGTATTTTGGGGGTTGGGATTTGGGAACAGATATGGCATGTGTTAGCTTTGCGTGTTTGTATATTCGTTACACTCTTTACAGTCTCATGCTGATTTTTATTGTTATGTGTTGTGTGTTTCTGGTGCAGCTTCATCGCAGTCTTGGCAGACGCCCGTACTTGGAGACGCGGCCACAGCAGCTGGCATGTCGTGTGTTTATTTTTGTCTTTACGACGGCCTTGATTTACTTTGTTGTGCAGGTGATTTTGATTGCGTTTCTCTACCCTCAGATTCTTGGTATTGTGGCGTACCAGCCATTCACGCAGCTCTCTTCGGTGATTGTATCGACCTTTTTTGTCAACTATATCACGTTTGTCTACACGACCACGGTTGCCTCACGTCGTGTACCGATACGCCCTGAGAATCCACAATGGCGTCATGTTCGTTGGTCACGCGAGTGGTATCGCTGGCTCAACCTCCACGGTGGGATATTGTACATCTTTCACAACGAGCGACAGGAGAGATACTTTAATTGGCTGCAGAACAGCGGGAATACGTTCACAAAGGGACATGGTGGGGAAAGCGATTTGGCGGGTAAGCGAGAGTGCGGGGATGCAGAAAAACAGTCTGCACGAGAGTGTGGTGATGCGAATGCCTTTGCTGTCTCCTTCGAGCGTGAAGGGGCGGCATATTATCAAACAGCGGCAGCGGGGGGTGAAGGTAATGACCGGAACTTTTCTCCAGAGAGCAGCGAGAGCGAGAGCGATGATATCTGCATGGATTTACTGACGGAGAGTTCGCATTCTCCCCGAATCCCGCAGTCCCGGAGTGGGGTGGTAGAGTTTCTAGAGAAGGCCGAGCGCCAATTGATTGATCGACCCGCTATTTTTATTGACCACCTCGAGGAAGCTCTGGTAGACCCGCTACAGGCTCTCCTCTTTCGCCGAAGGGGCCGAATGCCTTTTTTCAATCTGGAGACCGCCATCGACTGTCTCAACTTGTCATGGGAAGCGTACCTGACGACAGAGCGGGTAGAAGATACGGTGGAGCTTGCAGAGGAGCCCGACACCGGTCTGTTTCAGCGGCTTCAGCGTCGTTATTTCTGCCGCGGTTCCGCGTTTGGCGGGGAGACTAATAATAATAGTGGCGACGGCGGCGAAATAGGGGAAGCCAAACAGCGTGACCGCCACAATTGCAGTACGCATGACAGCAACGAATCTGGGAGAGGAAATTATACAGGTACCGAGGCTCCCGCCGTGTCTGTGGGGGAAGAGTCATTGCCTGCTTTAGGGATGAACACGGAGCAGTACGGGTACAAACAGCTTGCCGTGTTTGAGGTTCGTGATGTACGGGTGGTTATTACTGTCATGGACACGACTCTTTCCTGCCATCATCGTAAGCTTCCGCGTCTTGTGATAGCGTTTCGCGGCACCGACAATTTTTCTAACGCCCGCGAGGATTTGCGTTTCCGACAACGCATTTGGAGAGAAGTTGACACCCTGCGGAATTGGGGCCTCAAACAGCGTGCTAAAGTGCACACTGGATTTCTCACCATGTGGCTTTCACTCAAAGAGGGGGTGCTTCGCACGATTAAATCATACTTGAGTGAACACCGCGAAAAGGTCTGTAGTATGTTTTGCACGGGGCACAGCCTGGGTGGCGCGCTTGCCTGCCTCTGTGCATACAGTTTGCAACGCATGCTACGTCTTATGGCGTATCCACTTCTGGAAGTGACTGTTTACACCTATGGGCAACCGCCAATTGGCAATAAGGCCTTTCAGACTGCCTACAACAAGGCCGTTCCACGCACTTTTCGTGTAGTGAATGAGAGTGACGTGGTATCCTTTCTTACACTCTTTGGGGGTTGTCATGTTGGTATTGAGGTGGACATTGATCGCCATGGCAACTACATCTGCAAGCCAATGTTTATTGAGCGGTGGTTTCGTCCTACGCAGGGCAGGGGGTTTGCCGTTGCAAATCATACACTTGCCTCTTATGCCCAATCCCTCAATGCTGTGGCGACGCGGAATGGTGGGGATTCCTGCAAACTGCGTTGCCTGGAGCCGTATGTCAGTGCCACGGAGGTGGTGTCGGGTGCGACCTCACCAGAGCTAGCACATTCCTCCTCCGTCGTCCGCGTGGAACAGTCTCCGCTTGTTGCCTGACGGACTGACTTTAATTCTTGCATTACTTTACTTTCAACTCTCTTCCACGGGTGGCAACGTGGGATATTGACAAGGAGGGAACTTCTCTCTAAGAGCAAAGGGGAGGAGGGGGGAAAAGAAAGAGCGAAAAATGCAGGGTACAAGTACCTACAAGTGATCATTATTTGCTTTGATTTCAATGTTTTGCTTGGTGGGGTGGTTTTTTTGGTAGCGCGTGGATGTTGCGGAGTTTTATTTATTCCCAATGAGGTGCAGTGCAAAGTCTCTTCGTTTTCCTACTTCTTTGTTTTGGACTTGTTTTCGTTTTCACTCCACCGCCCGGTGGGGAGCGGAGCGGTTCGCCCTTCCCTTTTTTTTTGCTGTGTTTAACGAAGGAGGTCTCACGCCTCCGGTTTGTTATGTGAAAGCTCCACCTGCCTCTGCGTGTTTTTTTTTTTTTTGTGCCCAAGCAATCGATACGGAGCCCCTGTGGGACTACTGGCAGGACGCTTGACTTGGGCTACACTGTCAGGCTTGCGCTGAGGTGGTGGGGACAATGAGCCAAGAACCGCTTTGTCTTGGTCCCCAGTCACATGTGAAGGCTCGGGCGGCGGAGCCAGTGGATGTGAGCGACGTGGACTCGGTTGAGCTCGGCTTCGAGGCTCCAGTGCCCGCCTCGGCGAGGGGGCAGGAGGAGCACCTTTCTGACAACTGTAATAATGCAGGGAGGGAAGCTTGCAGGTTAAGAAAAAGTATGGGTGTTATTCCTCGGGCACCGCGACGTAATTTACACTCGATTTGTAGTCACCAACCACCAGCTAGGCCTTCCAAGAAGGACAGGCGCGGATTTTTTTATTTCTCTCGCGGCCTTTCTTCAGAACCCGTGGAGCTGCAGATTGAGGGACTGTCCCCATTTGTTGCTCAGGCCATGTTGTACATGTGGTATGCAGTGATCATTGCGGCCACGGTTCTGCAGAGTATGGACTTCGCTGCCTGGGGTGTGATGAACATATGTGGCGAGGAGGTGAGTGATTTACGCCACTACGATAAATGGAGCAGTCCGTGCGTAACAAGTACACTAGAAAACGCCAAGGATGAGTTGTACACTATTCGCTGGGAAGAAGGGCCATACGGCGGACTTTTTAAGGATTTGTCAGTGCGCTTTCCGAGGGTGGTTCTTAGCCTGGCCTTTGCGGGTGACCGGGAGAAGGGTGCAGAGTCAGTGCATACATACAAGATAGAGGCGGTTATTTCTCATATTGTGGAGACAAATTACATTTCCACGTTTTGGTGTACTGTCACGTGTGCCCAAAATTCATCCCGCTGCGACTACCTTGAGCTTCCCGCGCAGGCCGTCTTAAATGACACCTCAAATGGGAAAAAATCACTCACACTTCGTGGGGTCCCGGCTCCGCTTGCCCGCGTCATCGCCAATTCCTCCGTTGGAATTGTGTTTCAGAGGTATGCCTACTCCCTGGGTGCATTTATCTGGCGGTATGTCTTTTTGCTGCTCTCCTTCTTACATTTGCTGCGCTTTATTGTGTACAAAAAATTTACAAGTACATTGCATGAACAGAGCTGGGTGGTGGTTCTGCAGCTTGCACTTTTTTGGTATTTAAATCCTTTACACGCGTTGGACTATTCCAAAGGACGACCGTCTTTGGTGCTCCACTTTTTGGAGTCGCACTTCCCCACGTGGTTTGTAGCGGTGTGCGTGGGGTTTATGCTTTCTGCTATCACAGCAACGATGCCATGGACGCCGCCAGCGTACGGGCAGCAGCCTGTGATGTATAACCTCTTGACTATGAGCGGTATTAAGGGATATTTTCGCCACAGTGCCAGCGTGTACGACCCACCATTGTGGACAAAGTATTTGGTGGTGGCATACGTTCTTCTTGTTGTCGCCTTGGATATCGTTGGAGAGTCGTTGCATGCCGCAGGGTCGTTAGAAACCTGGGGAGAGCCCGAATCCTCTATCCACTACGTCTTGGCAGCCCTTATCCTGCTAGGGTGCATTATTTGTTGCATTCTGCTTGTCCACGTGCACCGCAACATGGGCGCAAAGTCGTATTTGGACTCACGACCGCAGCAATTGGCCGCTCGTTTTTTGATTTTAATCTTTGTGACATCGCTGCTTTACTTCATATTTCATGTTATTATGTTTTGCCTGCGCTACCGCAGCATTCCTGGCATGACGATGATACAGCCCATGATTCAGCTCCCGGCTCTCATGGTGTCCAGCTTCCTAGTAAACATCATGACACTCATATATACCACCCGTAAACGTGGCGATCTGGTGCCGATTCATCCACGCGATGAACGCTGGAAGCTGATGGTGTGGCCCGACACGTGGTACCGTTGGCTTTCCCGCCACGGTGGGAGTATGTACATCTTCCATACAGAGGAGGAGGAGCTGACTTTTAACTGGAATCAGATCGGCTACCGCGTACGGCAACAAAGGGCGAAGGCTATAAAACGGAAGGGACGGAAGGGCGGGTCGTGTATCTTTGGGCGTGCCCGATCACGAGTGCTGGCGCAACGTTTCCATAATGCACGCACCGACGATGAACAACCTTCGGAAGTACCAGAAACATGCAGCGTTCAGGGGGACTCCCCCCCTGTGTTTGTGTCTCCCCCCACAGAGTCACACGATGGCCCTGCGATTCTCAACATGGACCGCACCTCCACCTGGTTTCTTCCGGCCCGGGCTTCTCATACTTTCCCCTTAACGATGCAACATGGTCTTCACGGCAGTATGCCTCCCGTAGAACGAAAAGAACATGAACACATTGATGAGTGTGACGAATCACGAATAGAACGGCAGGCCACCAAAGCTGTTTACCCGTCCGAGTCAGATGAGCGGCGGTGCCGGCCGTCGCAGCAAGTACCGGATCTATCAGCTTTTCCTTCTGTATGCGAGCCCAGGGAAGTACATTTTGAGGTTGCGGATAAATTACCACTGGATCAACGGCATTGCCGCCTCTACTCAGGAGTTGCAACGGAGCGCAGTAACACGGTGGCACACGAGGAGGCTGATGACGTTGAGGAGGAGGAGGAAGAGGAAGAGGAGGTTAACATTTTGCAGAATGTGGCGGCGCGCACCTTTGGCCGAGCGCGGGAAAGGATGGACTTCCTCATACGGGGTGCAGAGCGGACCTTTATTTCGTGGCCACTTAATGCCTTTGAGCACTTGGAGACGTTTATCCTGGACGCCGCCGCGCGAACCTTTCAGGATGTGGAGTACCTCCCTTTTTTTAATCTCGAGACGGCGATCAGCTGCTTTAACCTGTCCTGGGAGGCGTACGGAACCTCGCATCGAGGGGAGAAGAGGGTTGAGCGATGGAAACCGTTTTCCCTGACGCGTTTGTGTTGCGGCTGCTGCTGTTCCTCCTCTGCCTGCGTGAAGGATGAGGTGCGGGTGCCCGTTGCGAATTCAGCAGCACTGACTGTGGCAGCAGGGAACGAAACACCGCTCCGTGAGGATGAGAGTGGGAACAGAATAGCCGAGCATTTTGCGGAGCCGGGGCAGGGGAGTCTCAACGCTCCACCCCCCATTGATGTGGAACGCTACGGCTACCGTCTTTGCGCCGTGTTGGAGGCCATGGATGTGCAGGTTGTTATTTCGGCCCTAGACAACGCTGATGCGATTGCTGAGGGTAAGGCTCCACGTATTGTAATTGCCTTTCGAGGTACGATGAGTATGAGCAATGCATGGCAGGATTTACGCTTTCGTCGTGTGGTGTGGGGTGAAATGGTGGAAGGAGAACCAGGGCTGGTCCCAGACGTGTGCTGTGGAACGAGACCGACCGTGCATGTGGGATTCCTCTCCATTTGGAACGCACACCGTGAACACGTCTGTGGGAAGTTATGGGAAGAGCTTTTAGCCAACCCTTCCACAGTGTACCGTGTGTTTTGCACGGGGCACAGCTTGGGTGGCGCGCTTGCAACTCTATGTGCATACAGTCTGTGTCGACTATTGCGCCAAAACAATTACGCTCTTGCGGAAGTGACAGTTTACACCTATGGGCAACCGCCAATTGGCAATAAGGCCTTTCAGACGGCCTACAACAAGGCCGTTCCACGCACTTTTCGTGTAGTGAATGAGAGTGACGTGGTGGGATCAATCAGCATGTACGGTTCGCATGTTGGTATTGAAGTGAACATTGATCGCCATGGCAACTACATCTGCAAGCCCACATACATGGAGCGACTGTTTCGTCCTATGAAGGGAAAAGGGTTTGCTGTTGAAAACCACCTCATGGAGAGTTACAGTGCCTCGTTGAATGCGATTGCAAAGGGCACGAGCTGCCCATCCCTGGCCTACGCAGGAGATGGCAGTGGCGATAACGCTGTAAGTGTTGGGGCTGTTTCAGGGCAAAGGGAAATGGACATGCGGGTTGAAAAGTGTGCGTAGGTTGAAACTTCAATTGAGTTTTTGAATGTACTGTCGATTGTGGGAAATGAGGAGCAACAGCAACATAAAGTTGGTGCTTTTTTTTCCGCTTTTCCCCCACTCCGCTCCTCTTTTTTTTCCCCCGCAATTTTTTAGGCTAGGAAGAGCTTGTCAGCTTTTTTTTTGTTTTGTGTTGGTTAGTTTGTTTTTATTGTGAACGTATTATTTTTCCCCGCAACGTCACCTCACTTCTTTAAGCTCTGTAGTTCTGGCTTTGTTGTCCTTCTCTTTACCGTTGAATTTATATATATATATATACGTTTTGCCCTTACTTTCTTCGCTCGCTCGCTGACATCTTCGCTTGGAGGTACAGATACCCGTGTTCTCTCTGGCATGTCCTTTTTTCCCTCTTTTTGCCGTTCCTTCCCCCTTTCCCCCGAGCCTGGGGAAGTCAAAAACAAAAAAGAGTATAGTAGCACTCTCCCACCATCACTACTACACGTGCAGCATTCGGGCCTGTCTTGTTCCTGTGTGGAAGCGGAGCGGATGGGCAACAAACGTGCGACATCGCCGTCACCATCACCATCCTCGGTGGCAGCCGCAAAGGATAATAAAAAACCCTCACAGCATGAAATACTTCAAACGGCACGAGTCGCGCTGGAGCTGACACGTGCGGATGAGCTGTGGTCGGCGTGGTACAAGGAGTCGGAGGACAAGTTTGCCGACTTCCAGTCCTTCGGAGACACGGAAGGGGGGCCGAACGCCTTCGCCGCGACAGGGGCCAACCCCAGCAGTGGCGGTGCCCAGTTTAGCAGTTCCCACCGCACACTCAGCGCCCGCCGGGTCAGCGGGCAGTTTGAGGAGGAGGTGTCGAAGTCATGGGATGAAGACTGGGAGGATGAGGATGTGGAAGACACGTTTGACGCCATCATGGGCCAAATTGGGCGCTATGAGGCTTCAAGGGCCGCTTCTGCGTTCAGGTGAGGTTTGTGGAGGAGGGAAGTGAGGTGCGGCAGGAGGAAAACAGAGAGCGGGAAAGGAAAGAAGATTAGCCAGAAGGAAGAGGAAAGGAAGCAAAAAAAAACATGATGTTCCCCCCAATCACATGTTTTTTTTTTCTTTGCTTTTCTTCGTTACGTCGTTTCTTGTGCCTTTCCTATTTGACTCTTCACCACCAACACCACCTTTTACTGTTACTCCCATTACTACTACTGTAACTGCTTTCTTGCGGCGTTCGGCTGGTAGGTGTTGGCATCGATCAGGGCCAGGCAAGGTTGTTTTTTGCATGTTTACCCCCTTTTTTTCCCTCTGCTGTGGTTTTGCTGTTACTTTGTAATGTGCGTGTGTGTGTGTAACTCTGAGTCGTGTAGTGTGTGCATAAACGACTCGTTCCGCTATTGCCCTTGAAGGCAGGGGTGTCGGACGGGTTACACATGTGGGCCAGGACGATCCTTCGGCTCTGTACTAGCAAGCAGCCAGGCGCAGCGGCACCTGCGGCCGCCGGCTCGTCGTGGATGGCAGCAGCTGCGTGGGCCAGTTTAGGCAGTGAATTCGCTGGTGTGAGTGAAGATAAGTTTCTTCGGCCGAGTCCTGATGGGTTTTTGACGCCGCGTGCCACGACGGACGTGGTTGTGTCGGAGCAACTGCTGCAGTCGATGGTTGCGGAGAACGAGGAACGGTACAAGGGCATTGATGTGCGTGACCCCTCCTCGATGGCGGTCTACGAGGGGGAGCGTCCGCGGTGGATGACGCTGGGCAGTCAGGTTCGTGCGGTCTCCGAGTTCATTTCTGGGCACTTGTGCCATCACATCTCACTCCCTGAGTGGAAGGCCCTGTTTGACCTGCAGTATGCCGAGATGGATTTGACCTACTGGCTCTACGTGCTGCATGTTCACATGGTGAGCCGACGTGCCACCAGCATCCCCATTGAAAAGTTTAACCGCCGCCGCGAGGTGCTAGAGGAGATCCTGCTCACCATGTTTGAGAGCTGGGCCTCGACATCGGAAGATATTATGGGCCGCCCTCCGCTAAACAAAATTCGTTTTTACATCAAAGATATGTATTACGTCACGGCGGTTAACTTTGAGGAGGCCCTCCTGCACGATGGCGCAGGGGCAGACCTGATGCTTTTAGGATTTTTGATGAAATTTTGTCCGCTGCCGCGGCCGGAGGATGTGCCACTCTACACGTACTACTCGCTGGTGCACTACGTCCGCTTTCACACGGCCCTGCTGGACCGCATCCCTGACGAACTTATCGCGAAGGGAAACTTCAACTTTCTATCACCCACCGACTCCCGCATCTTTGAGCAGTACGACGAGGTTGCGCTTGACCGCGTCATCCGCTCGTGGACGGTGGACGTTGCGGACGCGGGCGAGTCCAACGAGGGGGGCGAAGCCAACTGATGCAGGCGCGTGCGTGTCTGTGTGGTTTGGTAGGTGGCTGGGGGCTGCTCGGACGAGGGCGACCCTCCTCCCACACGCACACACACAGACACACACACACACACATTCTCACGCAAGCAGAAAACCAACGGAGCATCGAGGCAAGAAAAAAAAAAAGAAAGGGAGGAAAGAAAACGAAAAAAAGAGGCGTCGGGAGGGTAAAGGCGGCAGAACGCAAACAAAAGAGTAAAAAGAAGGAAGAGACGCTGAGACGGATGGTGCGACCGAACGAAAAGGCAGCGGCGGCTGATGCTGCTGTCTGGGAGTTTCGTGCTGGGCGGGTTTTCTGCTTCCTAGAGCCACATGCACGCAGAGTTTTCTCTTTCTTTTTCCCTGTATTGTCTGGCTTCCTACGTCCTTTTTTGTTTTTGTTTTTGAGAGTTTAAACCAGGGACCCACAAGCGGCAGCCCCAGTTTGTTTATTTGATCTTATGCCACTGTTTTTCTCTGCTTTGCTTTGTTGGTTCTTGTTGCCAGCCAATAGTCGACGTGTAGCGTCCTCTCTTGCAGAGCTGTGTGGGGAAAACAACCACTACTACTACCCAAGGAAAAATGAAACGTGTGTTGGTCAAGGATCTCTCCGCCAACGTGTTAAAGTTGCCACGACTGCCGATTCCGTCGCTTGAGCAGACAGCGGAACGGTACCGCGCCAGCATTATCCCGCTGAAGCCACCGGAGACGGCGAAGGCCCACTTTTTGAAGCTTGACATGTTTGTCTGCAGCTCTGGCGTGACGCTGCAGAAGGCGCTTGTGGATGCCAATAAGGCGGCGGAGGCGAATGGCGGCTACCCGTACTCTTACATTGAGCCCATCTGGGACCGCATGTATTTGTCCAACCGCGCTCCGTTGCCAGTAAACACAAATCCGTCAATTCTCATCAAGAAAGTAAAAAACATGGGTGAGACACAAGCCAGCGTCGCAGCCTCCCTTGTATACGGTATCGCTAAATGGGTGCGGAACGTCCTGAAAGATGGTGTGGAGGTGCGTGACACAAATATGGACCTATCGCCGTTGCTGCGCCAGCTTGGGGCTTCATTGTTTCCAGGCGAGAAGGCGGACGAATTTCATACCACGCCATTGGAGAAGCTACGCCATATTGTTGTGTTGCATGATGGTCACCCCTATGCCGTTCGTGTTTTCGATGACCAGCAGGTCCCGCTGGAGCAGGCCGTGATTCAAAAGTGTTTGGAGTACATTCTTTCCATCACTCCGGATGCCGACAACACGACACCAGTGTCGGTACTCACTGCCGGCAGCCGCGAGATATGGGCTGGTGCCCACGCGGAACTAATCAAGACTCCAGGTAACGCGGAGACCCTACAGAAGGTGCGCGAAGGCATGGTGGTGTTGTGCTTGGACTCAAACAGGTGGAATAACAAGGAAAATGTAAAGAACGGAGCAATACTGCACGGAAATAAGGATGAATCGGAGAACAGGTGGTACGACAAGCACCAAATTATTGTCTCCGCGGATGGTGAGGTGGCGTTTAACTGTGAGCACGCTGGCAGTGACGCGCTGCAGTGGGCACGGTGGATCGGTGACGTCTTGCAGAGCATTGAACAGAACGTCCCAGCACCTGCGGCCGCGGCGGTTGATGCGACGCACATCACCGCCTTGGTGGAGCCCCTCCGGGTCACCTTTGGCAAGGCGTTTGCAGGGCACATCCGAAGTGCACGCACAGAGGTGCTGAACCTCATTGCAGACACCGCCTTGGGGCACCTGTACCTGCCGTTTGGCGCAACCCAGCTGAAGCAGCTTGGGGTAAGTCCTGATGCGTTTGTGCAGATGTGCTTCCACGTGGCCTTTCACAAGTGCCGGAACAAACTCGCGCCCACCTACGAGGCCGCCTCCACCGCGCGCTTTTTTCACGGCCGCACCGAGACTATTCGCTCCGCCACGCATGAGATGCACAAGTTAGCGGAGGCCATCAACAAGGCGACGAAGGACGATGCGGTGCCAGGCGAAGCAGAGCGAGGGACGCTGTTGGCGCTCATAAAGGCTGCCTCGGAGCGCCACGTCACAATCGCCCGGGCGGCATCCCGTGGCGAGGGTGTTGACCGACATCTGACGGCGTTGAACCGGTTGGCCGTCGAGCACGGCGATAAGGCTGCGCTCAACTTCTTCGACGATGAGACTTACAAGACGTGCTGCAAGTGGACGCTTAGCACGAGTAACGTCTCGTATCCGTGGATGGAGCGCCTCGTGTTTGGGCCTGTAACCCCCAACGGTTATGGCCTGGGGTATGTTGTGGACAAGAACGAGGTGCGCATCATGCTGTCTGCCTTCACCCGCAGCCCGTCGACGAACGTAGACGATATGAAGGCTGCGATTGCGCTCTCCGCGACGCGGTTGCACCAGGTTCTGTCCGCGGCCAAGCTTTGAGGGAGTGCGATGATGCCTCGTCACAGTGCACCAGCGCGAGCGTAGCAACAAACAGAGAGGAATAAAAAAAAAAAAACATCAAGAAAAGATGACCGATGGCAGAGAAATAGAGGAAAAGAAAAATGCAAGGAAAACAACACCAGCACGAAGAGTAGCTTAGCAAACAAACAAACAGAACAAAAAAAAAAATTATAGGGAATGGAGCGGACGAATTGACGGGTGAGCACCAAAGGCAGGGGATGAAATATGGAGAGGCCTATTGGCTTCTTTATGTTTCCGTCTTCTTTTGTTTTCTTTTTATCGCTCTCTTTATTTCACTCCCCTGCCCGCTTTGCCGCGTTGGGACGCTCCTCTTTTTTTTTTTTGCGTCGTCGCAGCGGAAACAAGCAGGCACGTTTTCTTCCGGCTGTTTGCTTGGCTGTCACAGAAACCAACCCCGTTGAACAGCGCTCTATGGGTTTGCTGGGCGAGAGAGTGAAGCGCCGTGGAGGAGAGCGTGCTGGGCAATGGTGTGCCTTGCCTTTCATGCCTGCGTCACACGGGTGGGTAGAAGCCTAAACAGGATGAAAATCTTGGGGGGGGAACAGTAGCAGAGAAAAGGAAAAGGGAAAGCAAGGTGAAACAAGGCAGCCTACGCTGCTGAGCACGATGGGCAGAGTGGGCCACTTATCGCATGTGGAGGAGACATTTTTTTTGTTTTTTTTTGCGTGTGTTGTTTTTGTTTTCTGTGCGTGCGTGTGTGTTGTTGTTGATTTTGGTGGGTTTTTTTTTTGTGTGTGTGTTTGTCTCCTTTTCCTTCAGTGATAAATATTATTAAGAGTGGTGGGTGGGTGTGGACGGGTACCTACTCCACCGCCCCTCCACACACAAATTGAGGAGGCAAGAAGGAAACGGAGCGGACCACGGAACAAACAGGCATAAATAGCCATGCAGAAGTAACGCTTGCATAAATACCTATTATATTTGTGCATGAACTCATCTATGCATGTCATGATGTCATTTTGTGGGTAGTGCATGGAGTTGTGGGAGCAGTTTCCACTTATTCCGTCTTTCTCCCTTTTACTTCCCCATGCCTAACTGGGTCCTATGTTGCTGCTGTCGCTGTCTCTTCACACTCAAATTGCATCCGACTCTTCCTCTTCTTGTTTTATGTGGTTTTACGGATGCGCACCCTCCCGCCCTTGTTGTGCGTTTTATTAAGTTAGTGTGGTGTCTGCTGCTGCTGCTGCTTGACTGTACTCATCCTTTGTCGCTCTTTTTTTCCCCTCCGTTTCCTTTCTTTGTGTCTGCGCCTGTGGGAGTCTTTGGTTGGTTAGTCGCACGGCCGCACTGCGTTGCACACCGAGGATGTCGTCGGCGTCGTTGGTGGCGAATACCCAGCAGCGAATTCTCAGCAGTCTCTCGCTGTCGGGGCAGGAGGCGGTGCCGTTTGCCACCCTACAGCGCGACCTCGCGCTGGACCAACGCACCGCAGCCGATGCCCTGCGCGGACTCATGGAGGGAGGGAAGGTGGTGCTGCGCCGCGGGAACACGGACGGAAGCGTGTACGTTGCTCTCTCGAACAGCATGCCGGAGGGCCCATCTCTGGTACTTGATGCGATAAGGTCCAGCGGGAATAGTGGAATCGACCAAACAACGTTGTGTGGCAAGGTTCGTCTACCCAAGAATGAAATCATCAAGTCTTTGCAGCTGCTTGTGGCTCAGAAGCGCATCAAGGAACGTCGTTGCTTCTCAAACCGCGCAAAGCGTATTTATCTGTTGTTTGAATTTGAGCCAAGCGATGAAATTACAGGAGGAACGTTTTACGGTGGCGAGGATTCTCGCGAGATGGATGTGTGGTTTGTCGATGAGATGCGACGACGTATAGTGGCTCTTGTGGCGCAGCGTCATTCGGTTTCGCTGGAGCAGATTACGCACTATTTGCACGAATCCCATGGGGGCAGCGTTACCGGGGAGGCGCCACTAAGTAGCGGCGACGGGGTGGTGGTGATGACGGCACACCCCAGTGGCCTCACAGTCACCTCCGCCAAGGGCAGTAGTGGAGGTAACAAGCGAATTTCGCAGCGGGACACGCAGCTGTTGGTGCAAACGTTGGTCCTAGACGGGGTTCTGGACTCCGTGACCGCTCCTGTGGGAGCCCCCCCGCAGTATCAGTTGGCAACCGGGAAAAACGTATTGCGGCACTTTACGGCAACGCTCGCCGCAGTGGGTGGTCGTTCATTAGGCGGCGCGACGTCCTCGCTCGAGGATAGGCGTGAACCGCTTGGGGACATTTCTGGCGGTGGATTGTGGGTCCCCGCCTCAGTTGCGCAGTCCAGCGCGTGGGCAATGCCGGTGGTGGGGTTGCCATGTTTGGGGTGTCCACAGCTCCCAGTGTGCTCCGTGAGCGGCATCGGTGTTGTTAACCCGCGCAACTGCGCGTACTTAAATGAATGGCTCAGCTAAACTGTCTTCGGTTTACAGCGGCGGCGAAGAGGCGTGATGAAGGGCGAGTTGTAACTGGGCTCAAGGAAAATTATTTTTGCCTTGTTTTTTTTTCCCCCGTGTTGTTTTTGTTGTTTTTAAAGCTACTTTGTGTCTGTGTGGCAGCTTCTCCGGTTCCTGCTTTTTTTTTATTTATTTATTTAGTCTACGTGTGGAATCCACGAGTTTGTCACCACAGTCATGCAGCTCGCATGTATGACTCTTGGATTTCTCTTTGCTCCTTATTTTGCTTTTTGCGTTGCCTGCCTGGCCCGGTGCGGCTGAGTTCTTCCCTTTTGCTGTCATTTTTCATTGCGAAACAGTGAATTGCCTGGCCATAGCCGTGGCGTGCGTGTGTGTGTGTGTGTGTGTGTGACTGTACCGCACAGCAGATAGCAGAAGAAGTGGTTGAGGGTCGTCGTGGGGGAAAATGTGGCAGCTTCACAACGTGCGCTTGCCGCCGCGGAGGTTGTGTGACGCAAAGCCGTTGATGTCACCATTACAGGGGGGGTACACGCGAGGTGACGCGTGTCACTCTTCTTTTGCAGGTGGCGGACACGAAGACGCGTCGGAGTCGGAGCCAAACTCGCAGGCGTCATTGCAGGCCTGCTTTGTCGCACCGCAGCCATGCACGTCATCCTCACCGGTTGAAGCGGCGTCGCAGGAATCGCTGCAACCGCAGAAGCAGCCGCCGCAAGAGCAGCAACAACTTGTCATTCGACAGGAAGACATACGGGACGAGGACTTTCAGCGGCTAGAGGTGTTGGGTGATGGTTCATACTCTGTTGTGGTTGCCGCCCGTCATTTGCCGACCCAGCAGCTGGTTGCACTGAAGGAACTCTCGCGACGACGCCTGAAGGAGTTGGAGCTGGAGAATCAGTTGCAGTGGGAGATCAACGTTCACCGTACGCTGCGCCATCCCAACGTGGTCAGGATGCTGAGCTACTACGTCACCCCACAGAACGTTGTGCTGGTGCTGGAGTTGTGTCCCTGTGGGACGCTTCTGCAGAAGCTGAGGGCAATGCCGCAAGGAAGGTTTGATGAACGACGGGCGTCGCGGTATGTGCGACAGGCCGCACGGGCGCTAGCGTATCTGCACGGACATGGCATTGCCCACCGCGACTTGAAACTAGAGAACGTTTTTTTAGATGCGCGGGGTGTGGCAAGGCTGGGAGATTTTGGGTGGAGTAAGGCCGTTGAGGAGCCGACGGTGAAGCACGACCCCGCCCCTCATTCGGACAACTGCGGCACTACCTCACACAGTGCGGGCGGCGATGATGCGAATGTGTGTGGTGGCGGCGGCCGGCTAACGGTGTGTGGCACGCTGGACTATTTGTCCCCGGAAATGCTGTCTGGCATGCCTCACACCTTTAAGACTGATGTGTGGTCTCTTGGTGTCATGCTCGCGGAGATGCTCACCGGCGCGCCCCCCTTTTACTGCGTGTCACACCAGGGCACCCTCGACGCAATTCGCGAGGCGGACCCTCACTTGGGCGACGACGTTCATATCTCATCACTGGCCCGTGAATTGGTGCTGACAATGCTGCAGAAGGACCCGGACGCGCGTCCAACAATGGCAGAGGTGCTGCAACACCCATGGACGAGACCACACCGGGAGAAGGCGAAGTAACAAGAGGATGAAAAGCCTTGGCGGTGCACGACCACATCCACAAATGAGGAGACAAAACACGGCGTTTGCCGCCTCTTTGGCTGCAGAAGTGTACGTATACAAGTACCTTTGTGTTTGGGAGGTGCCTTTGTCTTTATATGCAAATGTTGTGGGTGTGTGACCAGATGATGAACGTGGGGGGGGGGGGGAGGAGGGGGCACAGGCATGAGGTCACAAAAGTGACCGTCTTGCTCCGCGCATTTCGCTTTAGAAGGATATACCTTCGTATTGTTATTGTTCTTGTTTTATGTCTCTCCTGCCACCCAAGCAGACACACCCCAGTGGGCGGGAATCCCGTGATAGGGTAAAAGGCGACAGAAGGAGAAGGAGTGTATGTGTATGTGTATGGGAGAAGATCTCCGGAGTGGGCGGGAGTTTGTGTCTCTTCTTTCTCCTCTTTTTCTCTCGGTGGTTGCGCGCACCACTTTTTGTTTGGGTTGCATGGATGCGGTGCGGTGCGTGCGGCGTCAAGTTCGCACTTTCTGAGTCTTGCGCAGTGCACTGCACGTGGTGGCTCGCTCCTTTTTTTTTGTTCTTGCCCGCTGCCTCCTCTCACCGCTCACCAACAAAGTCACTCGAGGACCCGGGCAAGGAGAAGCTCACGACAGAGTCAGGGAGTTGCGAAGGAAGAGTAGAAGCAAAGAGCGCCTATTTTGTTGCTT